CTGGGATCTCCAGCTCAAGCATTACTTTTACATGAGATTCCTGAAGTTACTGCTGGAAAACTTGGCATCCCTGTCCATCACTCACTTGTTTCTAAGCATATTATTGTACTTGGTTGGGCTCTCACATGAGCAAGGGGCAGCAGTCTTGACCTGCCCATTGTAGTACCTCAGCACCAGGTCTGCAATTAAAGTATCCTCAATGTTCTAGAGAAATGGGATGTCTTCATGCACCAACAATTGAACTAGGCCATCTTACACTCATGCAGACTTGGTCCCAGTGCTGATCTGGTTCACTTCCAGTAGGCAGCTGTAGGACTTCTCTGTCACAGCCTTGACAATTCACTTATTCTTGGTTACCATGAGATCACCCCTAAACACCTGGAGAACTGCAATAACAGTGCACTTCTGCCAAGCTTCCTAGTTGTCCTGCTCAAATGGGTTTTCAATGGATACCATTGGATATTCCAGGGTGAAGGACTTTACAGGTCAGCCAACTGTTCATATCTAATGTATTTTTGTAGTCATAAGGGACTTGAAGTCATGATGACATTTGCTTGCCTGAAGAAATCAGAGGTAGTCATGTCCATGCTAAATACCATCTGGTCAGTGTACCCGACCTTTGCAATTGTGGCCTTCAGCAGCTCCAAGGCTTCTTATATTCTCCAGGATGTTAGGCACAAATGTGTCCTCCTCATCACTTACCTTGGTGGCTTCCCTCCTATATTTATTCTTGATGACATTCTTCAGGTTGTAGAAAACTGCTGCTCCAAATGCAGGTGGCTTCCCAGAAACTGGATGTCCCAAGTGTCAGGAGCATGAACTCCTGTCTTGCATGTATAACTTGTTGCAAACATGAGAACCACTGATGATCACATTGAAAGGGGGTAACTGCAAGATGACTGCAAGGTTGACAGTGAATTCAACAATGTCAGGATACAGGCCCACCCCCTTTTCCATGACACCAGCTTTTCAGACAGCTAGGGATACTTCCTTTATGCCATTTGCACCAAATAGATTTATTATTAGTACTTCCCACTTCAATTATCAGTTTTTATGTCTTCTCTTGTTCCACACAATCCAGTTTCTTTCTAACGAAAGCAAGTGCAATAGTCTTATTGATGTGCTCAATGACCTTCATGTCCCTTGCCCATTAGCAAATGTCATTGTCTCAGAGTTCTAGGGCCTTATGTGTGTCAGTGGAAGCACTTTTAGGCACAGCAGCTTGGAAGAAACCTTTTGTGGTGCAGAGATTAGCTTCATCAGTGGGATTTCGTGAGAGTCAAGGATTTCTCTAGCAAGAATCTTGAGAATAGACATGGTGAATTTCTGACCTTCAAATTGCTACACAGGAAAGAAACAGGTATCTGCAGACAGAGAAAACAGCATTGAGGAGAATTTAATAAACATAAAAAAGAATTACTAAAGAGAACTCAATCTGAAATTAAAGTGGATACAGAAAATTTAGTACATCAAAAATATCTCATAGTTAACCTCCTGAGAACACTCAACAACTCTTATGCTTCCTCCATTAACTCCAGGAATTCCTTAGATTGCAATATTATGGACAAGTATGAGTAATCACCAACTTTGCGTAATGACTTTCTAAGTTTATGTAAGAATCATTATTTTTCCCATCCCTTTATGTCATCAGATTTTTCTTTGCAATCCTGGAATATATAACCATGTTTTCTCTTCCTACAGTGTTCTTCAACAGGGGCCTCTTCATTATATTCACTTCAGGATTCAAGAGTGAGCTTGCACCTTCACCAGCCGACAATCAAGTGAGATTTATCACATCAACTGCCTTTCACAATGGCCACACATACTCACAGTTTATTCTTGTAAGCTCTGGAGGAACCAAGGATCCTGAAGAAAGTACAAGGTTTATTAATTTTTCCTAATCATATGAATTATAATAACTTGGGTAACATGAAGGTATAATAACTACAATAAAATTTAAGCTTCTCTACTATGGTTTTATGTTCATAGTACAAAGCCAGTCAGTCCTCAAATTCTCATTGAAGTATCTCCATTGTCTCTTCCCCACACTCCTATAACCAATTACAGCAGAATTATGCACAACTAAGTTGTTTCCTAATAAAAGTAAATTACTCTGGCCAGACTAGTCAGGTGATTCTGTAATTGCACTTTGAAGAGAGCTACTATATTTGTGTAACTATTAAGATGTTCCCTGGTAGGAAAATCTAAGCTCTATATTTCATGTATCTTACTTCATCTGAATAGTTCTTCAAAATTCCAAAATTATACATACTTGCATAATTATTACTTATAGAATGCAAAATACAAAGACAGTGATTTGGTGGAAAAGACTTTTTAATGGAATGTTCACCTCTGCTGTATGTAAGGGCAATTAGCATATCTGAGGTATATTTGGAAAAGTCTGAGGACACTGAAACAATAATTCATCTGAGCCTTTTCTAGTGACCTTGGTTCAAATTATATTCTTTGTACTTTTAAATATGTTCTCATCATGTTCCCTGCAGGATTTCAGTGATTCCACACTCATTTGGACACACTCTCTGAATGCTGAGTTTACAGATCTTTAAAGGCTCCAATCTTTTTTTTCTGGATATCTTTGCTGCTCTCAGCATCCTCCAACATTCCAAGGTTCTTTCACTAATTTCTTAATGAGGAAATGATGTCAGGTCCGTATATCATATGGAGTTTGAAATTATGACAGCTTAAAAAGATACCTGCTGTTAAGTCTTTTGTATATCTTATCAAGAGTATATGATTTGTAGTCCTTGAAAATATACATATATGCATGAAATAGTGAGTGGACACTGAAGCCATGAATGTCAAGTCTAGTGGGGGTGATTTAGAGAGGTGGAATGGAAGGAATAATTTTTTGTTACTATATTATAATTTGAAATAGAAAAATAACCAAGTAAAAAGCAAAACCAAAGCACACCAAACCACTACAGAATGAAAGAACGAAACATTTGTTTTGAACTATTTTATCTCTGCTATTTATTTATGTGAATTGGATCACTTTATTCATAATTCTATGTTTAGTAAGCACTTTTTCGATGAAACACCCTACTTATTTAAGTAATTTTTGTAAATTTATATAACTTACTATCTCTAAGTTTAACAATAGGGCCTAAGGAGTCATTGCCACAGATATGAAATGAACAATATATGTTTTAAACATTACATAGACACTTTTTCTCTCAAAACACTGACATCCACATATTATGTTTCCTTTGCATTTTCATTCAATTCAGGAATATGATCTAGAAATTGATGCAATATTAATTGTATATAAATGTTTGATCCCAAGTCATGGACTATTAGGCCATCTAATGGTACTAAATAATGGCACAGTTATCAAAAACTTTGTGTATAGTCTCACCTGAAGATAAAAGAATGTAAATATATGAAAAGAAGTGGAAAGTCAATCTTGTGTATTGTGAAGACACACTTAAGAGTTTCGCATAGTTCTTTGGTACAGTGCCCTTTGGAAATACTCCCCAATGAACTCATGTTTTCTATATTCATAGGATTTTTAATTTGGACAAAGAAATGCAATGCAAAATATCATTTTCCAAATAGAGGTACATTGTTATACTGTGATTTGTATGAACATGTTGCTATGGAAAAAGTCATAAGTGGTCTCTGAATTCATTGATTCCCAACAACAGCCACTGTTTTCACCATTGGAGACAAATAGAAATACATTCAACATGTGAGAGCATCCCATAATGCATTATCTTGAAAGAAGTGTACCTAGGTAGAATTCACCAGTTTTAATGGCAAATATTGGAGGATGTCTTTCATGGGTGTAGTGGGATAAACATCATGCAAAGTGTATGATAGTCATATGTGATAATATCAAAATTACAATAGTTTATAGTATAAAACAGAAAAGGGGTATTAGGATCCATTAGAGTATTGCCTATACTCTTACATCACTAATATTTTCTGTATTTTCAACCTTTTGTACTTTGAGCAATTCAGTCTGCTTTGATATAAAATTGAACCAGAAATTTCCTCTGTAACTGAAGTAAGAAAATGGACATCTTTGCACCAGGCCTGACTCAAAAGGGGATCACTGTACTGTCTGAGGAGAAGGGCTCTGAAACTAGAGCTTTGATTCAAACTGGACTTCACTTTAGGAAATCAGTGTCATTGTTTAGACATTTGAAAATCGTGTTTCTATATCAGATACTTTATTTATATATTGTGGAGATCATATCCCCAAATTAGATTTGCAGCATAAGATTTCAACTATATTTAATTACATTTCATTATTTTTCACATCACTGGACATTTCAGCTTTTGTGAACAGAAATGGTCTGTGATAATTTGGATTTAACTAAGACATATTTACAAGGGAAATAAGGAATATGTAAATTAATAGGTTTTAAAATCTAAATAAGATTTTAAAAAAGGCTTACTTAAGTAAATACTCAAACAATAGAGGACTTTTTTAAGCCAAAGGAAAAAAAACCTATAGAAGACATTGGAACCTGAATAAATATCCTGGGTAGGAAACATAAATTATTATTTAGAGACTTGGACTTTACACTGTAAGATACAGTATGAGAAAAATAAACTTTACCCATATTATTATAGTAAAAAACCTATGTTTAATAGCTTCAAGTTTTCATTTTATCCTGTTGACAGTTTACCTATAGTAAGGATTCTACGAAATACCCATTTTGTCTTAAATGTGTTTTCTTTATTTTACAGTGACTACAGGCCACCTGTTTACAGTAATTCTGGCCTTACATCGTCTAGATTGCTGTATTCAATTTGGCTGTCATAACAGGTAGCACATGAAGTAAGAACAAAAGACTATTTACAGTATGGCATTTGCCACAAGTGAATAATTATTAATGATGTGACAATAAACTTGAGAAAATAACCAATATTTGTACTTACTTTACTCAAAGTGTAAGGAAAGTCTACATGCTTGTTGGTACCATTGTTAAAAATAATAGATTTCCTCCAGAAGATGTTCAAGAAATAAAACCATGTGGAACATAACATCTGTACCAGAAATCCATTTCATTCAACTCTCAGAGGATCCATACCTACAGCCTGTTCTCTTTGACCTATCCTTGTCCATATACATCTTGGCCCTGTTTGGAAACCTGCTCATCATCCTGACAGTAAGCTCTGTCTCCCATCTCCATACACCCATGTACTTCTTCCTCTCCAACCTGTCCATAGTTGATATTGGTTTCATCTCCACCACTGTTCCAAGGGTGACTGTGGACATCCAGACTCACTGCCCAGTCATCTCCTATGTGGGCTGCCTGACACAGATGTCAATGTATGTAATTTTTGCATGTATGGATAACATGCTTCTGGCTGTGATGTCATATGACAGGTTTGTGGCCATCTTCCACCTTCTGTATTACCAGGTCATTATGAATCCTAGTCGCTGCTGTGTACTACTTCTAGTGTGCTTTCTCCTTAGCCTTGTGGAATTAGTTTTTCACTATGTGGCTGTATTAAGTTTTTCAACAATGAGGATTATGTTGAAATTTCTAACTTCTGTGGTCCTTCTGAAGTTCTTAATCTTGCCAATTTTGATACTGTCACAAATAATATAGTACGATTCTGTATGGGCACTCTTTTTGGGTTACTTCCTATTTCAGGAATCATTTTCTCTTACTTTAAAATAGTTTCCTCCATCATGAGATCATCGTCCTCTAGTGGGAAGCACAAAACCTTCTTCAACTGTGGGGCTCATTTTTCCATTGTTTGCCTGTTTTATGGGGCAGCAATAGGAGTGCACTTCACCTCCTCTCTCTCACAATCTCCTGTAAGTTATGCAGTGGCCTCAGTGATGTACAGTGTGGTCACACCTGTGTTGAATCCCTTCATCTGCACCCTGAGGAACAAGGACATTAAAACAGCCTTAGGAAAGATTCTTAGCAGATCATTCTAATCATTGGCATTCTTTATAAATTCACCATATATCATTATATTAACTGTACATGTAAGTCCCTGTTAATGTCTCACATATTGCTAACTGATACTTCACAATATTTCAAGATGCAGTTGTGGTTATTGAAGTTGCATGTATTGTGAATGGTTAATTTTGCAAACATTACAAAAAATTGTATTTGGAGATATGATACTTTCCAAGGAATGAATGGTGTACATTGCTGAACAACCTTTTATAGTATCAGTGTCATGAACAACTAAAACCTATGCTCAGGGGCCATTTGAATGAGATCAGTCTGCTAAATTTTGTTTTAGAAATGACTGAGAACCAGGATGTCAACCAGGCTTCCCAAACATGACCTGAACTAGGAAGACATGGACCTACATACTAATGTGGAAAGGGAAAGCTCAGTGGGCCTCATCCTTAGACAAAGAGGTTGTTTTGGCAGCAGGAGACATATCAGCTGTTAGAGAAGAAGGCAATGAATTTGAAAGACAGCAAGGGTGGCTACATACGAAGTAGGGAGGGAGGGTGGTGGGAACTGCTGAATTTATATATATATGTCCCATTTTTAAAATATTTAAACAAATCAATTAATTTGTATAACAGTATTCACAGAAGAATGGCAAATATTACCCCCAGATAATATATGTGGTATCTGTTACTGGGTTTACTTATGATATACATTGTATTTTGTTAGTTTATTTTTTCCAAAGTATATCATACTGTGAGCTGTCAAAATAGGGAGCCTGTTATTTGAAGTGAGAGAATTAAAATTCATGCATATGATTTGATATGAGTAAAATCTGCTAATGAAGGATGAGATGCTTGGCTTGCAAAAATCTCCTGCTCTTCTTAGTTTTGAAGTCTTCTACAGGTTTAAAGGTTGTGCTCACAGCTTGCACAAAGCTTCATCAACAAGTCACTGTGGAATGTTGAACAGAGGTATGGGAATATAAGAGTGGTTCCATGTGACTTATTAGGGGGGTAATGGAGCTGTACCTATAAATACATATTATACAAATTAAAATGATTTCTCAATATTTCAATATTTTATATTTTCTTGAAGGTGCATTGCTCAATAATGGAACACTTACTACATAAGTTTAAATACATATTTTAATAAAAAGCACAGATACCATATCTACTACCAAGTTCAAATTGTGTATTAAAAGGAAACTTTCATTACATAAACACAAGTTAGTTAATCTTGTTTCAAATAAGATGGTGCTATCACAAAGTATGACTTTCCAATATTAGGAAAACTGCTTGGGAAAAAAAAACACAATGACCTTGTCATCATGAACTATTAAATTTAACTGGATAGTTAGATTATACAGCCCTTAAATATTGTATGGGGCTTTAGTTATTTTTAACAGAGAGTTGCTATATTATTGCCTCACAACATGCTAGGGTAAATATAAATAACTCCAACTCTTTTTGACTGAAAAGGATTTATGTTAATGTGTGAGAATCTTTGAATGGTATTTTTAATGAAGTGGTCATAGTTCACCCTAATTGTGTGTGTCTTTTATATAATATGATTTTCATTCCAGTAGTGTGCCATTAAATGCCAATTATTAGCTTTGTATAGAAACATGAGAAATTATATAACAGACTATCTGCTCCTAGCTCCAGTGGAACTGGCAGATAGATCAGGACCATATCTCTTAGTCTCAGATTCCAGCTCCAAAAACATTTCCTTGGAAATCCATCAGCCACACAGTCCCTGGAAACAGGTATGCATCTTCACTGTTCCCACCTCTCCTTCAAATCCAATCTACTGTCTTATTCCCCACCCTTGTACCAGATTAATTGTTGTAGCCTCTATTCCCGGTCTCCTGCATTTCAAAGGTTCTAGGAAGATCCTTTGACACACACCACTTTCCTTCTAACTGTTGACACTGCACATTCCCACTTCTGGAACAACTTATACCTAAAAGTTAGTTCCCAATATTTAAAATCACATTCTGCTGGGAACATCTAGTGAACACACATGACAATATCTCATAAGCGTTTCCAACCAGGCAATCCACAGGCACCAGGCTTTCCTAAGAGCCAATGCAGGAATCTGAAACAAAAGAAAAGAACCTCACCTAACATAGACAAAACCAGATATCACCTTCTAAAATGACAATCATCCCAAGCGTATACCAGTGTAAATACATAATCATAATATCCAAAAATACAATAAATAGCAACAACAATACAATAAGTCCTGCATAATGCTATATTCTGGAAGCACAGGGCAAGGACTTCAAATTAGCATTTACAAACATGTTTGAGGTGCTTAAATACAAAAATGAACAGTGGAATAAAATAAAGTATTCAAGACATGAAAACAAAAATAGAATCATTAAAGAATACCTAAACGTAGGTGAGCTGTGAAATGAAAAATTTAGGAACTAGACTAAGAACTACAGTGAGAAGCTTCACCAAGTCTACAAGAGATGGAAGAGAAATTCCCAGACATTGCAGACAAGACAATAAGAAAAAGGTACTCTAGGCAGAGAAAAAGCTAAATGTATAAAACCCAGGCACAAACACAAAGGAAACCTGGGACATAGTAAAACTACCTAATTAAGAATAATGGAAGTAGAGGAAATAGAAGAATCCCAGGTAAAGAGCACAGAAAATATTTCAACAAAACCATAGGAGAAAATTTCCAAAACAGAAAAAAATGAGGTTCATGTCAAAATACAAGAAGCATATCAGAACACCAAATTTATATAACCTGAAATGAAGTTTCCCATAACACCCAAAAATCAAACCACTACAAATGCAGAAAAGAATGTTAAATTACAAGGAAAGAGAGCAAATAACATGAAGGCAGCAGAAGTATTACACTAGTACCTGGCCTCTCAATTAAGATTATAAAATTCAGAAGGGACTTGAATAATAATAATAATAAATATAAATCTTCCTCTCCCTTCCCAACCCAAGCAAGGTCCCACTCTGGTGTGGACCTCATCAGCAGGCCAGATGCTGAGAGACCTGTGGGCATGCTGTACCACCACTGCTGCCACTCACTGGACTCTGTTCTCACATGTCCCACTCTACTGCCCAATCACACCTCCCCCATTACCTACTCTGTGGACAGCCTTCTCTGGCAATATCAGCAGACTATATAGACACAAGAACCATGCATGCCAGTTGGAAGTATAGGAACCCCTAACATCACCAGCACCATCTACACAAGCTGGAAGAAAAGATGGGTGAATTCCAGTGTCAGAATACATTTAACAACATAAAGGGCAATATGACACCGGTAGAACCCAGTGATCCTACATCAGGAAAATCTGAACACCCAAAAGGAGATAAAGTAGAATAAACCTTCTAAATAACTTTATGAAGATGATAGATGCCCTTAATGATGAAATGAAACTCCCTTCAAGAAATTGAGGAAAAGACAAAAAAAATCAGAAGAATTCGATAAAACACTTACCGCTCTTCAAAACATTCAAACCAAAGAATAACATTCCTGAAGGCTCCCATCAGTATGAACTCTTAAAACATGCAGAAACCACTCTGGGAAGTGGAAATCTGAGGCAATCTGTCATGTTGCCAGAGGGAGAGGACCTCAATGAGTGGATTGTTGTTAACATTGTGGATTTCTTCAATCAGATCAACATGTTGTATGGAACCATTACAGAATTCTGCACTGAGGCAAGCTTCTCAGTCATGTCTGCAGGTCCCAGGCATGAATACCGTTGGGCAGATGGTACTAATATTAAAAGGCCAAATCAAGTGTTCTGCACCAAAATGTATCGACTATTTGATGATTTGGGTTCAGGCTCAGCTTCATGATGAAACCCTTCAAAGATCAGTGTCCCATTTCCCAAAACTTTATGTTTGTGGCAAAGACTATTCTGCAGCATCTCTTCAGAGTTTACACCCATATTTACCACCAGCACTCCATGATGTAGTTGCAAGAGGATTCCTCCCTTAACACCTCCTTTAAGCACTTTATTTTCTTTGTTCAGGAGTTTATTCTGATTGATAGGCGTGAGTTGGCACCACTTCAGGAATTAATTGAGAAGCTTGGATCTAAAGACAGATAAATGTTTCTTCTAGAACACAGTTACTCTCGTCTCTTGCTCTATTTACTGCTAGCACTCTTTCATTGCTGTCTGGTATGAACTAGTGATAATGACTATAAGAAAACAGGATCAAAAGGCCCATTTTGTTGTCTGCAGAAAATTGTCCCAAAGCTACAATGGGCCAGATAGCGTCAGAACAAGAGCCACAGTCAGCCAAGTTAGCTAGAGGTGCTGTGTGGCCACCCCGTCCAGTTACTGCGTTTGTTGTAACCTTATGATGAACCTGTAGTTTGTTCCTGATCTTTTGTTTAAGAAAGTGATTTTGTCCAATCTCCCTATACCTTTTCAACATGGTACGTGAAGTTCTAGCCATTGCCATACGACAACAGAGGGGAATCAAGGGGATACATATTGGGAAGGAAGAGGTCAATCTTTCACTGTTTGCAAATGATATGATAGTTTACATCAATGACCCAAAGAACTCTACCAGGGAACTCTTACAGCTGATTAACACCTTCAGCAAAATGGCAGGCTACAAGATCAACTCAAGAAAATCAGTAGCCCTACTATATAGAGATGATAAAAGGGCTGAAAAAGAAATCAGAGAAACATCACCCTTTACAATTGCCACAAACAACATAAAATACCCTGGGGTAATGCTAACCAATCAAGTGAAAGACCTGTATCGCAAGAAATTAAAGAAGCCCACAGAAAATGGAAAGGTCTCCCATGCTCTTGGATAGGAAGGATCAATGTAGTGAAAATGGTAATCCTGCCAAAAGCAATCTACAGATTCAATGCAATCCCCATTAAAATCCCAGCACAATTCTTCACAGACCTTGAAAGAACAATAATCAATTTGGTAAGGAAAAACAAAAGACCCAGGATAGCCAAAACAACCTGTTCAACAAGGCAAAGTCTGAAGGCATCACCATCCCTGCCCTCAAGCTCTACTATAAA